CAGCAATAATTACTGTCATTTCATCTGTAACTATCTTTAATTAAACATTTATGTCAAATTAAAGCTTAAGACTGTATTTTGATAAATGAATGAAATGTTATTAATGTTGTTAATTAATGTTAATATAAGTTCTGCTCGGCATTAAACTGCAGACTCATGAAGGAAAACGCTGCGTCACGCAAGCATCACTGCAGAGCTGCTAGTGTACTGGGTGACCTTTGACCTCCTGGCTGTGAATAATTAGCCTAAAAGGTGCAATCAGTGTGCTTTATTTGGGGTCAAAGGTCACGTCCGGTACTGTTGGTTCATTCACAAGTTTAAAGACAATCAAATCCTGTGTTCACTCTCAGTTCCAAACTCCGTTCATCTGTCGACCAAAACTGTGTTCATCAGGATTGTGCTCATTAATAACAGGTGTTTAAGGGGAAATTCCGAGTCATTTCGGATCCCCTGAATGCACCACCAGGTTCGGCTTCAGATTGGTTCTGGATCGGAGTGTTTTTGGGGGGGCAGGTTCAGACTCCAGGTCCGACAAGGACACGCCTCCCTGCGGAGGAGTGAGCCTGTGTGCAGCGACAGTCCGGATCATTAGGACACCGTGAGGAGGACGCAGAGGACCGACAGCATGAGGGAGATAAACGTTACCGGGGCCGAGACCGGGTCCGGGTCCGGGTCTGACGAACTCGTCTTCTTCGTTAACGGGAAGAAGGTAAAAAAAGAACCCCTTTTGAATTAAAATGAGAGAGTTTTTAAATGGAGTTCTTCCTTTATTTTATATTATATGTGTTTATGTTAAGTGTTAAAATACTGGAATCTATATAATATGTAATCATAACTATATTATATAATAATAACTATATTATATAATAATAACATTAACACAATATTACAATTTTATAATGCTCCAATAATATCTTATATATATCTTATAATTCCTACACACAACTGATTATTGTACTTATATATTATTGGTATACTAACAGATAAAACCTATAATAGACTTAGTATATAAATATATATATAACATAATATAGAGAAATATAATATTTTATTTTATATATATATATTCATTATGTAAATGTATATAATATATATATATTGTTATATAATATAATATTATATTATGTACAGACAATTATTAAATGAATTGTTTAGAAAAATTACTTTTCTGTTAATATATATAATTTCCCCCCGTCCCCTAAAGACAGTAATGGACT